TCAGCCGGGCTCCCGCACCCGGCGGCGGGGGGCAGCCCGCCCGCACCCGCACCCACACCCGCACCCACACACCCACCCACACCCCCCCCACCATCCCCTCAGCGCCTCCCCGGCCCCCGCGGCGCTCACTCACCATCGCGGCGCTGGCTGCCGGAGGCGAGCGCCCAGCCAGCCGGGTCCCGCAGCTTGGCTTCTGGTGGTTTTTTTTTTTCCTCTCTCCCTTCCCTCAGTTTTTTAACCCTCGACCTGGAAGTGAATCTGCCTCAGCCGGCCGGGAAGCAGCGCCGGGCCCGCCTCCCTAAAAGGCGCCGCGCCGCCACAGCCACAGGCTGCCGGCTCCACGGGTGAGTGGAAATCTTAAAATCTAGGTTTAAGGACGTAAAGCGTCAGGAAATGGGTCTGTTACTCAGCGATGTGTGCCAGGCCTTCCCTGACGCCTACTTTGCTTCCATTTGGGAGCCAGCATGGGTGAGGCTGTCCCAGCAGGGGCTGCAGCAGCCCTAGGGCAGTGCCTGGTCTTCGGGTAACCTCTCAAAACCAGGAATTCCAAAGCCAAGGTTTGTGCTTGTTGCTCACAGATCAACCTCTGTGCTTCAAATGTTTCCTGCCCAAACGAGTTTATTCTGGCAACATGAATAATAACCTCCAGTAGAATAGGTTTTGCCACCTACTTTGACGTTGGAGAGAAGTTTTGCCACAAGCTTTTATACAAAATAATACAGCAGTAGCAATGAAAACCTGTCTCCCAACAAATACATGCTATAATGTATTGCTGTTAAACACAATATGGTTATTTTTTGTTTCAGGATACAAAGTAAAGAGTGATACAATTACCCTTTAATTTTACAAGTAAAATGAAACTGTAAAGAATTTACTGTTAAACCTTTTAAAGAACTGCTTGTTCTACATAGAGCAGCTTTGAGTAATAGCTGTTTGCAAACCAGCAAACCACATAAATAAACGCTAAGGAAGGAATAATTGCTAACATCATTTATGTTTCCATCATTACGAGATGACAAAATATTCTACAAATATTATCAAACACAGTTTTGCCTGTTTAGGGACTTCATAACAAAGGTCAGTTATAGCCCGATATAGCCCAAACTACCTGTATCTTCTTGTCTTCTCACAGATGTGTCACTGCTTTTAGTCGGTACATTTTGAAAACAGGATTTTAGCTTCATCTGGAAGACGTGCGTTAACTCCCACCCAAATACTGAAAAGTCTGAAAAGTTTTAAGGAAATATTTTAAGAGAAGTTGTAATTGGCATTTCGACAGCATGTCCAGCACGTGCTGCCATCAGTCCAACTGGCAGTGGATCTCGCAATTAGCTCCAGCTGTTTAATAGACAACCTGGTTTTTCCCTGTGGGAGCCTGTGCACAGCATTTAACTGGGTTTTGTTTATCCCGAAAGCTTGACAAGCCAGCATCATGTTACTGAAATAATCTGGGACAAAGCATTCTCAAATATTCCTTGAAAACCATTTTAACTCAAATGTTCTTTGAAATTAGTTTTAACTCTTAAGCAATTTGTCAGGTAAATTTCTCATGTGCTGCTGTGCTCTCAGAAAATTCAGTTTGTCCTCAAAACCACTAGAATTGGCTAATGTGCCATATTTTGTACAAGTGTCCTAATATCACGTCAGGCTTAAATTCATCCATAACTCAAGAATTAGGGTTTGTTGCGTGGCGTTAATTGTTTACCCTTTTTCTAACAACCCTGGTGCTGCCTGCGGGGACACGCTGGGATGGAGGCTTCCCTCTCTTCCAAAAGCACCTCCAGGATCTTTCATTGCACCACAGAAAGGGACAGTCCCTGGTCACAAGCACTAGCAGCAACTCCCCTGTCCGAAAATTGAGTTGAAAAATATTTATCTGTCAATCTGAGACAAAAACACGCAGGCAGCGCACTGGGGAGTTGGTAAAGCAGCCCCGGCCTCTAGGCCACGCAGTGTATTAATGTATATGGCAATGCCTCAATTTGTGGATTTGATTGTCCTGAGCCTCAGAAATATGTATCCAGTGGGGAAAAACTCGGAAATTAAAAATACGAAAAACGATGGATTGCTTTAAACTTGTGAAGTGTCACTGTCACTCCCCCCTCTGGCGGTGCCGAGGGGGGAGCGATGAGGCAGCGCAGGCGAACTCGTGACCCTCCCCGCCGCGCTGTCCCAGAGCCGGCCGGGGCGGCGCCGGCGGTTCCCCGGCCGGTGCCGAAGCCGGAGCCGGGGGAAGGGGTGGCGGGGCCGGGGCAAGGGAAAGGGAACGGCGGTGGAAGCGGGGAAATGGCGGCCCCCTATCGGCGGCGCATCGATCGCTCGGCGCTCCCGGAAGGCGCCTTATCGATCGCTCGGCAGTGCGCGGCGGCCCTGTCGGCTCCGGCATGGCCGGTTTCATCAACTTCGAGGACGAGGAGGAGGTGAGGAGTTACCTGGAGAATTTGCACGTTGAGTACAGCTACCAGTGCTTCAAGGAGAAGGACCCGGATGGTAAGCGGCCCCCACCGCCACCCCCTGGGGGCAGAGGGGTCAGCTCCCCGGCGGGAGGCTCAGCCCCTTCTTTCCCCGGTGCCTTGCAGGCTGCCAGCGCCTCGCCGACTACCTGGACGCCGTGAAGAAGGACTTCGTGGCGGCGGCGCGGGTGCTGCGCGACAACTGCGAGGGACACGGGCATAGCGAGAGCTGCTACAAGCTGGGAGCCTACCAGGCCATCGGCAAAGGTGGGCCGGGGTGGGCAGTCCAGCCGCCATGCCCTGGGTTTCCTCTGAACCCCTCCTGCCCGTGGTGGGCACGGTGGTGGGTGTCTGGGGTTCTGCCACTGCAGCACAGAGCCCCGCAGCTGGTCTGTGGTGGCTGTGCTCGCAGCCTGAACTTCTCCGTGTGCGGGTTTTGGGGCGGGGAGAGTGGCTATGCCTGTGGGGAAACACACAGTTCATTCTTCTGCAGAGGTGTTGAGCACCGGCATTTCCTCCTGACCTTGGAGGAGGATCTACCTGTCCTTCCCCTTTTACAGTCATGTAATAAAAGCTGGGGAAGGGTGGAAAATCTGAAATCGCTTCCTTCTGAACAATCAACTTTAGGTTAACCACATGTATTATCTTTATAATTATGCCTATGTAAGTGGTAAGTATATCCAGTGCTGAATGCTGCTGTGTGTCCTGTTCTTATAATACAGATTTCTTCCTGTCTGGCTGTTCTTTTTCTACAGAAAGTAAGGAAGAAATAAACTTGCAGACTGGTAATGCTGCTTACTGACACATAAGTAGGCCCCAAGCCTGCCCAACATATATCTGCTGGTATGAGAATGGGAAGCAGTTAAAGTAGGGAGTCTTCTGCCAAATACCAATGCTAGGAAAGAGTATATTTCCACTCTAGTTGAAAACTAGTCACAATCTTAGTGTATAGGTATACTGGCAAAAGAATACTTTGCCTAGTGTAAGCTATTAAGAAATCCATAGATGTAGTAGCAGAAAGAATTTTTTACAGGTTTTTTGTGGGGTTTTTTGTCTTCCTAGGTTGTGGTTACTGGAGAGTGGAGAAGGGTTTCCTAACTTGAAGACATTAGCAAAACCTTTGTGACTGAGACAATGATACTGTCTCTGAAGTCCTAAATTTCGACTGTAGCATCTAAAGTGAGGGCTGCTGTTTTTCCCAAAGAGCACTGGGAAGCATTCTGCAAAGCAGAGAGCTTCTATTTGTTTTAGCATGTTCCTTACAGTAATCTTTTGGTTTCTTGGCCGGCAGGTGGACTTGACCTGGATTTGAAAGCTGCCTACAAATCTTTTATGAAGTCATGTGAGAAAGGTGGGAAGAAGTCAGTAAATGCGTGTCATAACGTTGGGCTGTTGGCCCATGATGGGAGAGTAAACGATGATAAACCTGACCCTGTTGTCGCTAGAGACTATTACACAAAAGCCTGTGATGGCAATTTTGCTCCTAGCTGCTTCAACCTTAGTGTAATATACCTCCAAGGAGCACCTGGAGTCCCAAAGGACATGAACCATGCTTTGAAGTACTCGCTGAAAGGGTGTGAGCTGGGTCACATATGGGCTTGTGCCAATGCCAGTCGAATGTACAAACTGGGAGATGGTGTTGAGAAGAACGATGCTAAGGCAGAGGATTTGAAAAACAGGGCAAAACAGCTACATAAAGAACAGAAAGAAGCCTCGACTTCTTTAACATTTGGGGAGTAAAACTGTCAGTTGCAGTTACTGAGACTCCAGTTTTAAATGGCAAGTGAACTTGTTATTTGAATTGTGAGCATATGGTTTTCAGTCATAATAAATATCCTGTATTTGCATATGCAAATAAACATATTTTTGCGGATGCAACAAACATGACCAACTCTGCTGTGCCTTTCTATTTTTAAATATACAAGTTCGTAAGTGTATTGCTTGGATCTCTTCTTTAAGGAACACAAAAACATCTGGCCTTTCGGAAGTTTGTTCCTGTGGTTTCAAGTATGAAATTGGTCCACAACATACTCTTTCTTTTTTTTTTTCCCCACTGCGAATGTTCATAACAAGCAACTGTAATTCTGTACTGGGCTCAGGCTGAATAGCTTGGTGTTGTGTAAAGGTTTCTGCTCTTCAGAGCCAGTCATGAATCCCCATGTATTTTCTGAGCTAACTTCCTGCTGGAACAAGCACAGATTTTGATCTGCTTTCACATGATGTTTAAGTCTCGCCACTTCCACTTGAAAACCATGCTTATTTTGCTCTCTTTGGCCACAGAAATACTGTCCTTTGCTTGTACTGTCAACTTACTTTGTTAATTCTGAGAAGTTCATCCTGGCTGCATGTTGATTCTGGACAGTGCTTCTTACTGCCTGTGATCTTTCCAGGTCCAGGGGGAGATGCTGCTTTAGGCCCTGAAAATGTAAAGCTTTTCCCTTGTCAGCTTAGATCTAGAAACATTTAAGTCGTGTTCAGATGATTCCAAGCCTAGAACAGTAATGAGCCTGTATGGCAGTATGTACCTAGAGACATCTCTGCCTATAGATCTTGCAAATTAAACAGGCAGGAGAGAAAGGAGCTTAATTAGCTTTCTTGGGCAGATGAGCTACAGGGGCAGAGCTTTGCACTGCCCCAGATTGAAGAGGAAATAAGTAAAAGAGCTAGGAATTGGCCTGGATCCACTGAATTACATAGAATTATCCAAGACAGGAGATTCCCTTTCAGACAAGGCATACACAGAGGTTTTAAATACCTTTAACCTGAATGTTGTTCTCAGCATCTTGCCAACTGGTTTATCACTGTGTACCTCTGTGCCCGACTGCTTTAGGATTGCTTTCTTACGCACTGTGATCACCCCTTATTCAATTACACACAAACTGTTTTATTTTCCTACCAGCTTCTGCAACACTACGTTCTATTTTTTTATAATACAGATGTTGGGAACAAGGTTCTAACTGAGTAGATTTTGGATGCAAATCCATAGCTTATAAATATGCAAACCATAACATATGTATTCTGAACCACCACTCTGAATAAGTACGGCAGTACATGGAAATGTATTCATGCCCTCGCATGATCTTTTATAATTTCGGTGTGTATAAATATATGTGAAGCTTGTGATACATGTGTGTATGTTTTGCTGTAAATTTACTGCTGATTTAGAACATGAATGCTCTGGCTGTTGTCTGACTAAAAATGCAAATTTACTACTGAAGTAAATTAAATGGGAGAAAAAACAACACTCATTTGGCTATTGCCACAACTGAAAGCAGAATTTTTAGAATCTCATTGCATGCTGTATCAGGCAGAGCACGTATGAATTAAAGCAGTCCTTCCAACTTAACTGCATTTTTAACAGGCTTCTTGGAAGGGATGTGCTTGCTTCTGGAATGGAAACCCCAGGAGAACAGTGTAGTGATGAAATGGGTACACTGCGACGGCAGATGGCAGTACATGAAAAACATTCTTGCATACCGTGGGCATAAGGCTTATGGTCTTGTTTTCAGCAGCCTGGGGGGGGGGGGAAGAAAAA